AAAAAAAAAAAAAAAAAAAAAAAAAAAAAAAAAAAGCAGTTGTTGAGGCCCCTTTTGAAACCGCCGCCCTAAACCCTAAACCCTAAACCCTAAACCCTAAACGCTAAACCCTAACCCTGAACCCCAAACCCCAAACCCCAAACCCTAAACCCTAAACCCTAAACCCTAAACCCTAAACCCTAAACCCTAAACCGCCGCCTCATTCACGGCATCCTTCAGGGTGCGGCTTCCGCTCTTCACCGGCACAACGGTGGCGCCAAGTTCACGCATTCCTGGTCTCGGAGCTTCAGGGTTTAGGGTTTAGGGTTTAGCCCAAAAAGCGGTTTAGGGTTGAGGGGTTTTGGGGTTTAGGGTTTAGGGTTTAGGGGTTTAGGGGTTTAGGGCTTTGGGTTTAGGGTTTAGGGGTTTAGGGCTATTAACCTTTTCAATTAATGATGGTAGTATGATATGAATCACCGAAGATTAAAAGCTATCTACTCAATTACTAAGGAAGGGCTCCATGCATACTGTCAGTTGTGAATTTCAGGCTTGTTCATGGTTTGGGTGGGATGTTTAAGGCTTAGACTAGAGGGCTAGAGGGTGATGGTCGCGCTAGGGTTTAGGGTTTCGGGTTCAGCTTGAGGACTCTTAGATTGTGTGTTTGGGGATGCGGTGGAAGATGCATGCTGCCAAGCGACGGAAGCAATTGAGCTTTTGCCGCTCCGTGTCGATCTCGCCCATGTACACAATCTGTCACAAAGCCCCACTTCCCCCGGGCCTAGATCGTTTTACGTGGAAGGTTGCTCCCGATGCTTGCACATACCACAAAAGCCTGAATATTTGGACGAGAGTTAATGCAAGACTTGATACTGCAACGTATATGCCCGAAACAATACAAACCTAAACCCTAAACCCAAGATCCTAAACCCTAAACCCTAAACCGGTAACCTGCAGCTGATTGGTAATTGGAGGCGCAGGAGTCTCTGGAGGCGTCTACTTATGACCTATTCAGTAGAATGTCTCATCCTTCATTACGAAACCCTAACCCCCCAGGTACCTACTATATAGGGCCCTAGGGGCTCTAGTACCCTATATAGTAGATACCTGGGGGGCTAGGGAAAAGCAGGTAAGACCACTTCCGTCGGGTTGCAGGACCCTACCTCAGAGAACACTGAACATGTCAGGTAGGATATCCCCATGTAGTCTTGTTACATCTCTAAGGCCCTAAACCCTAAACCCAAGATTCCTCATGCCGAGTTCAGCGCTTCGGCTCGCAACATCCCTGAGACCTAAACCCCTACATGGAGGTTCATGGTTCGTTATAAGTGGGGTTAGGGTTTAG